GAGGTCAAAATATTGCAGTCCAGAAGGGACTAAACTCAGCCTGTTGCTCATCATTGAATATGGTGTACCAAGGTGCATTAATACCTGAGAGCCCTGCAGTGACGGGGAAACGGGGAAATGATTGAGATATATCCAGATAATCCCCACAGCCACATGCTGCAAAGGAAAGTAAATACACCCCAAGGTCACTACTAGTCTGACTTATGAGAAAATTCTTTCCTTACCCCACATGTGGCAATCAATTAGACCAAGGGTGGGAAACTTTTTTTGTTTTAGTTGGGAACCACTGAACCATAGAAGAATCAGTTAGGGGCCACATACAAGTCAGAAGCAAAAGAAACCCCACAACCTCACAGATGTGGCCCCCAACTGAAAATGAAAAAAGACCCTCCCCTCAAGCTCCAGCCCCATGGCTGGGGGAAGGTGCCAAAGCTCAGGGTTTACCCACAGGGCTGGATGAACTCTTCTGTGGAGTTGGGGCTAGTGAATTCTGTAGTGTCCCCCTTGGCTCTGGGGTGGGGCCAAAAGTGAGGGGTTCAGTGTGCAGAAGGGGGCTGCTGGAGAGCAAGCTGGAGGTGAGGCTGTGGGGTCTGGGAGGGAGGTAGGGTGAAGGAAGAGGGTGGGGGTGTGGGGTCTTTTGGAAGGTAGGATACAGCAGCAGGCTGAGGGTGGAAGTGCCGTCTGTGGGGAGTGCAGGGATGGGGTGGGGGTGTAGGATGGGAATGTGGGGTCTGGGCGGAACCCTCCCAGGGGATGGGGTACCTACCTGGTGTAGCTCCAGGAGAAGGCATACATCAATGAGAGTGACAAGAGGTGGTGCCTGCAGCATCCCCCCTGCCAGGCAGAGCCTGGGGGCCCAATCTGGTCTGTGGCTTGCTTTGATTGGGCCTTTGATACTGGGGGCTTGCTTCTCAACACCACAGTGGTAGAGCTTCCCACATGTCTGGAACACCAGTATCAGCTTGTTCTGCTGTGTGTGTGGGGCGTTGTGTGTGAGCCCCAAACCTTGTGAGCTGAATCAAGGCCCACAGGCCGTAGGTACCCTGAATTAGACCCAACCATGTGAGCAAGAATTAGCTAGCCAAGCTGAGAGAAGGTATGTTTAGAAAGTTCGAACTAGGGATGCAAATGCAGGCATTCGAAATAGTCAGTGAAGTGGGGATTTAAGTATCCCGCGCTTCATTAGTATGATCTTGCCAGTACGCTAGTTCGAATCACAGCTGATTCGAACCAGGAAGCGCGCGCCGGGATGCGTTAGTTTGAACCAAACCCCTTGGTTCAACAAATGAGGAGTCACGTTAGTTTGAACCAAGGGGTTTGGTTCGAACTAACACGTCCACACTTCCTGGGTCGAATCAGCTGTGATTCGAACTAGCGTCCTGGTGAGATCATGCTAATGAAGCGCGGGATATTTAAATCCCCGCTTCACTGACTATTTCTAATGCCTGCATTTGCATCCCTCATTCGATCTAGGGTGCAAGTGTAGACATACCCAGAGAGAATGCTTGACGGCACCTCAGAGCACTTGCCTGCCTTAAATCGTGTCCGTTCTCCAGGTTGGGCATCTGTAATACTTTAGAGGAAGACCACCAAACCCCCTGCGTTTCAGGTAGGACAGGAGGGGGCATCCCTTCCTGTTCCCTGCCAATGCTGGCTGAAGACCTAAAGCATGAGCTTTTAGGAGTATAAGGCATAACTTGCAAGTGAGCCATAAGTCTGCTGAGTCCTATCCCTACCATCACAGTTAACCCAGTCATACAATCACATTCATAAATTTGTTCAGCTCTCTTAAAACTAATTCAGTTGCTCGACTCCACAATTTCTATTGGGCGGCTGTTCCAGAATCTTACTTCTCTGATGTTTAGAAACCTTCTTTTAATTTTCAGCTTGAGTTTTGCCAGAATCATTTTATGCCCTTTTTTTTTTTTTTTTTTTTGGTGTGCCAACATTATCCTTTAGTTGAAATAGCTCTTTTGCCCTCTCTGGTATCTAATCTACACCCTGGAATATTATAGAGAACAGTCCTATCCTCTTCACTCAGAGGTAGGGTTGCCAGGTATCCGGTATTTTCACCTCCTGTCTGGTTTAAAAAAAAAATTAGAAAACACCAGATACCTAAAATGTCCAGTATTTTCTGGGTTTTTTTTTTCCCCCCTGCCAGGAGGCGAAAATACCAGATACCTGGCAACCCTACTTCGGACACAGTCAGCAACCGGGCACAGCCCCCGGACTCCCCCACCTCCCAGACCTCCACCCCCCCTGCTTAGCTGGTTCCACAGGGGCTTGTCTTATGCCTGGAGCAGAAAAATAAGATGGCTGCTGGCAAAAAAAGCCTCCTCTTAAAGGGGCCATGCTGATTTTTTTTATTTTTCTATTTTTATTTGTATTTATTTATTTATTTATTTATTGCTTAACTGCTGCAGGGATCCCTTTTTCTTCCCTCAACAACTTTGGTCTCCCCTTTTTTTCTCAACAGAATTTTTTTCCTGGTGGTTTTTTTTAAGGGGGTACAAGGGTAGGGGGTTGTTCAGTATTTTTGGTTAAAACATCTGGCAACCCTACTCAGAGTTGCTGGCCCTATTGGGTATGGCACCACTCCTGGGGCTTGAAGTGGTTTCCATCATACACAGGTTTTGCATTTTTTTGTTCAGAATCTTTCAACAACTGTTCCAGCGTCACTCTTTTTGCGACACTAAACAAGTACAGCTCTTCCAGTGCCTTTTACAATGGTATTTATACTTCTTCATATATATTGGAAATAGCTTTCCTGATATAAATATCCTATTTGTTTTTTCACAGCTTCATTGTGTTGGTGTCTCATGGTTCTTTTGTGAGCGACAGATACACTGAGGTGTTTCTTTTCTTCTGGCACTTGCAATTGATGCACCCCCAACTTGTAACAGAAATTCAGATAATTAGACCCTAAATTCATTACCTTGCACTTCACACCATAGAATTTCATCCCATTTCTGTTATTCCAGTCTTTGAGGTCATCCAGATAATCTTGTACAGGCAGTCCCCAGGTTACATGGATCCGACTTACATCGGATCCCTACTTACAAACGGGGTAAGGCAACCCTGCACTCGCTGCTTCCCCCCAGCAGACCAGGGAGACGCGGAGCGGCTTTTCTCAGCAGACACCTCAGCTTGAGAATAAAGGACTGAGGGAAGTGAGGTGCGGGAGAATAAAACTGAGCTCTGGAGAAATGTTTGGCTAGAGTTTCCCCTACAGTATGTACCAGTTCCAACTTACATACAAATTCAACTTAAGAACAAACCTACAGTCCCTATCTTGTACGTAACCCGGGGACTGCCTGTATAATATTCTAACCTTTTATATTGATATTGCCTCTCAACTTTGTATCATCAATAAGTTTCTTTGGTACTTTCCTTTTTGTGCCAGCATCATTAATAGAAATATTCAATAAGATTGACTCAAAAACTTGTTCTTGAAGAACTAAGCTACTAATCTCCCTCCAGTCCAACAGTCTTTCATCCGCTGGCTTTGCTCCTTTCACCGGTTCCTTATTCTCCTTATAATTCTTGTACAAATCTTCATTTTCTTGAATGTAACCACAGGTTGAACCTCTCTGGTCCAGGACTCTCTGGTTTGGCAACATACTGGACTACAGATGTTGGACTAAAGAGTCCCAGTGGCTTAGCCTGCAGGGCCAGGAGCAGGCCCTACCAGTGGGCTGGGGGCAAGGAGGCCTGCCCTCCCCTGGCCTGGCAAATTTCTTTTGATAGGGACCGGTCAAGTTCTGAGGATGCTGGACCAGAGAGGGCCAATCTGTAACAAGTGGTACTGTGTCAAAGGTTTTACCTAAGTCCACATATTTTAGATCTATTGCATTTCCCCAAAATCAGTTATAAGATAATTCAGAATGGTTTGGTCTTTAAGAGACTGGCAGAGTTTTTTCTTCAGTGGTCTGGTATCTTTCTGGAAAAAGTGATTGCCATATATATATCTCTGTTTTCACATAGAGATCTCATTTCTGGAATTTTCAGCCAAACTGGTGGGGGATTGGGACTAGTCATTCCACCTTGAAAATCTTTGTCTGTAAGATGTTTATTTTTTTTCCGTCTCGTTGCTAGAATGATAATAGGATGGATCCATCAGATTCTCAGGATTGCCGCTTGGGGAACTGGATGATCTGTTAAAACTGTGGGGCTCTAGGTTAGCACATGTCGCTGAAAGAACAAGCCCTGAAGGTTGGCACAACAAAGAACATTATAAAAATTGTTCTAGTATTTTTGGTGGGTGCAGTAGTCTCAGTAGCCTAAGCTATTTTGCAGTTTTCAGTCCTCTTTATTTTAAACAGCAATCCTTACCAAAGCTTAAGGACCTGAAGATACATGCACGCTCTCTCTCTCTCTCTCCTCTCCTCTTGCTGTTCAAATTGTATGATACTCATGGAAAAAGGTCACTCTGGAGTGATTTTTGTTTTGATCTGGATTGCAGAAGGCAATGAGATCCCACAGGGTATGAGATACTGTGGATGTCTCTTTGTGGCTGTGTTATTTGGTAGTAACTTGCTTGGGAAACCTACAGAGTACCATATGTCTTTCTGTTCCCTTTATCTTAACATCTCAAAACTTCCTTTCTGAAAATAGTTTGTGTTCCTTTTACTCAGTAGTCAAAAGGAAGATACTTTG